GTGTGTGGCTTCTGATGTTTGTGAAAATGTAATGATGACTACTCAGTGAATTTTTAGTAATTCTCATAGTAGGGGAAGAGCTATACAAATATGTGTCACCTGAGAAGTATAACTTCTATTTCAGGACTACCCACCGGGTCATCCTCTAAAGTGACTTGCTTTCACAGATGCCCCATGGCTCAGGAGAGGTGTGATAGTGACACAGAAGTCCCCAAATTCATCCTGAACCTAGGCTTTGCTTTTTTGTTTGTTACCCCGCCGCTAAGACCAGTTGACTGTTCGGTGGTTTTACGTGTCCCTGGACAGACGTGTACATGTGGCGAGAAGCAGGGCGGCCAGCAAAATGAGTCCCGCTGCTAGCGGAGTCTGGAAACACACTTTGTTTCGGGTCCCACTTGCGAAGTTCGTTGTTTGCCTTGGGCACGCTCTGTTGAACTTCCTTGGGCCTCCGTGTCCTCACTGTTAATAGGGCTAGGAGTGGTGCTGGGCCGCATGGATGAAGGTGAAGCAAGACGGATGGCAGTACGGTGCCTGGGACACACCCAACACTGAGGAGGTGGTTTCTGCTGTCGTTTTCGTACTGTTTTCATTGCCAAGCCGACGTCTGCCCCTTCCTACTTCATAACAAGGACACTGAAGCTTCCATACCTTCTTTAGCTGCTTGTAGGTGCAAAGCAAGTTCCTCCGTGTTACCAGTTGACATGCTTTCTCACTTCTTGGTTCTGAACCCTCCTCAGGCCCAGTTATGCTCTGCCCTGGTCAGGCCCTTGTTCGCATCGCCCCACACGAGTTTTCCCTTTACTCATTTCTACTCTTGTTTGTTCTTCACTTTCTCTCAATAAGTCTGTTTGCCAGACTGCCCACAGCTGAAATTCTGGTGACCTCATATCATGAACAATAGTTCAAGAAGGTGGAACCTTTTGAACCCCTCTTTGCACATGGCGAGCCTCTGTCCGGCAGCGCCATCAGGTGAGGTAGTGGTCCCAGGTACTGGCTCTCCCATCGTGCTCACTGCGTGAGCCAGCCTCGGTAGTCTCAGCACCCCCATCTGTAAAATGGGAGCAGTGCGCGTTCTTAGCCCACAGTGTTGTTGTGACTGCGTGTCTTCCTTCCCTTACCGGAAACTCAGGCCCTGTGCTATGGTTTGTGGATTTTGCCACAGCCCTGGAGGTTCTGGGCAGCATCTTGCAGTGAAACACATTAATTATTTTGTAATCAAATGGATGAATATTCATGCTAGGTGGAATAAGTAAAGATTGTAAATGGGTTTCTATTGGTTCAGGTCAAACTTTTCAACCAAATGAGTTGAGGTCTGGTTGGGCTTTGCCACCAAATAAATTAGGAATATATTTTTGGTTTTCAGAGCTTTTTAGATTGCACAATTGTGCATAATGGATTGTGAAATAATATCACACGTTATGAAAGGTACATATAACCTCTTGATAAATGTTAATAATTACTGTCATGACTGCAGCTTCCAAAACTAATGTGCAAGTTAGGCCTTAATACTTCTTTCATTTTTCAAAAATCGTGATCTCGATCTATTTTAACTCTCTTCTCCACCTTTTCCGTCATTTCTCACGTGGTCTTCTTGTAACCTGCAGCGCTCGAGGATGAAGTGCACCGCAACGTGAAGCAGTCTCTGATCGATCGTTCCATCAGTGGCCTACTGAGTGGCAAGATGGTGGTGCCTCGTAATGGGGATATAAGCGGGGATTTCTTGAAAAATCCTCTCGACCAGGAAAGGCTGATGGCGGTTATACCAAGGATCATAAATTATCCAAATGCGAGCACGGAGAGTAGTTCCCCTGATTCTGACCTTGAGTTTGTAGCCAATACCAAGGCAAGGGTGAAAGAGCTAGAGCAAGAGGCCGAACGTTTGGAGAAAGCTTTCCGAAATTACCATCGAAGACTTAGTCAGCTCCCCGCTAAAAGCCCTTTAGCAGCCAACAGCCCGCCACCCCTGCACTTGCTAGGGACACTCAAAAGCATCACTTCGAGTTCACCCCAAAGACGCACTTGTGCCAAGGACAGAGTTGTCTCTGAGCAGCCTCTGGTGGGCACCCCTGAAGAGGACAAGAGCAGCGCCTCGCAGCCACGCAGGAGCACCACCTCCAGACGCCTCTCTTCCACTCCCGTTCCCAAAGCAAAAAGGAGCCTCGACGGTGAAATGTATCTGGAAGGTGAGCTGCTGCCGAGAGGGTTGCAGGACGCTCTGGATTGGGAAGGGTCTGGTCCTGGGAGGGCCTCTTCCCCGAGTAAGAGCGCAGCTCGGGACGGCAGGAAGGAGTGGGAGCTGAGCCCGGAAACGCCTGAGCCCAGGCACTTGGGTCCTCTCTCTCGATCTGCCTTTCCCGGTTAACAGTGGCATCTCCCCCATGTTGCGGGGGTGGGGTAATGTCCTGTTCTAGCAACTTCCTGGGCACGCAGACAGGTGCAGAGTGACGGTGGCTTTCCCTTTACCGCTGGTTAGTTGTATATGTTTGAGTTACTACTGCAGTTTCGTTGAGGGGCTTGAATCGTTAGCTTTGTAGATCATTTATGCATCATACTCAGCTGTTTACAAGGATAATAGAATTCATTGTCAGAGTAATAGAACTGTTTGGAAACCATGTTGCTGTCTTCTTGCAATTTTTAAATAGTCAGGCCTTCTGCCCCTTAGGTCTGGACCAATCCCACGCTGCTGGCCCCAGTCCTTGTCCCGACAGAACACCCCGGCCTTCACCTGCTGAGTCCAGGCACAGCCCTTCCCTCCACCCGCTGCCCAGCTCTCCAGAGCAGGCCAGGTAACACCGCCTTCCGCTCGGCCTCTGCCCAGTCCGCTGAGCTGCATGGGGTCTCAGCCTGGACTCGTTTGGGCTTTCTGTGGCAGTATAGAGTTGGTAATCAGATTGTAAGATGATGTGTGATCTTTGAGAATCATCTAAGTTACCTGGAGCGGGAGTGGGGAAGAACATTCCTTTTAGCAAAGTAGTTTCTACTTCTTTGCTAAACTTGGTGTGTAGAATCTACACTGTGGTATCAGTAAACATTTTCGTACTTCAAAAATAGACTCGGTTAACGAAGGTAAAACAAATTGTCCAAAATCTGGGAAAACAAATTCAGTTTGAGCTTAAGACAGTTTCACACATCACTAAAAAGTCATATAAAAATATTTTGGCATTTAAATATAAACAAACAGGGGCGCCTGGGTGGCTCAGTTGTTGGGCGTCTGCCTTCGGCTCAGGTCATGATCCCGGAGTCCTGGGATCGAGACCCGCATCGGGCTCCCTGCTCGGCGGGAAGCCTGCTTCTCCCTCTCCCACTCCCCCTGCCTGTGTTCCCTCTCTCGCTGTGTCTCTCTCTGTCAAATAAATAAATAAAATCTTTAAAAAAATATATATATATATAAACAAACAGGTTCCAGCTTTTTTTTGTACTTGAGTATAGTTGATACACGGTGTTAGATTAGTTTCAGGTACACAGCATAGTGATTTGACTCCATACATCATTCTGTGCTCCCCACAACTGTAGCCCCCATCTGTCACTGTACAACCCTATTGCACGGCCATTGACCGTAGTCCCTGTGCTGTACCTTTTACTCCCATGGCTTATTCGTTTCATAAGTGGAAACCCATACCTCCCCCTCCCCTTTACCCATTTTGCTCATCCCTCGGCCCCCTTCCCTCTGGCCATCATCACTTTGTTCTTTTTGTATTGATAGCTCTGATTCTGCTTTTTCTTTGTTTATTCATTTGTTGTTTTTTTTTTAAGATCTTATTTCAGAGACAGTGCACACGAGTGGGGGGAGGGGCAGAGGGCGAGAGAATCTCAAGCAGACTCTGCACTGGGTGCAGAGCCCGACGCAGGCCTCCATCTTACAACTGTGAGATCATGGCCTGAGCCGAAATCAAGAGTCAGATGCTTAACTGACTGAGCCATCCAGGGGCCTCTGTTTGTTCGTTTGTTTTTTAGACTCCACATGTAAATGAAATTACATGGTGTTTGTCTTTCTCAGTCTGATTTATTTCGCTTAGCATAATACTCTCTAGGTCCATCTGTGTTGTTGCAGGTGGCAAAAATCTCATCCTTTTTTATGGCTGAGTAATATCCTGTTATGTATAGATATATATACACCACATTTTCTTTATCCATTCACCGATTGATGGGTATTTGGGTTGCTTCCATATCTAGGCTATTTTAAATAATGCTGCTGTAAACATAAGGGTGCATGTATCTTTTTAAATTAGTGTTTTCATTTTCTTTTCATAAATACCCAGTAGTGAAATTACTGGATCATATGGTATTTCTGTTTTTAATTTTTTGAGGAACCTCCATACTGTCCACAGTGGCTGCTCCAGTTTGCATTCCCACCAATAGTGCGTGAAGGTTCCTTCTCCACGTCCTCGCCAACACTTGTTGCTTCTTGTCTTTTTGGTTATAGCCATTCTGACAGGTGTCAGGTGATACCTCATTGTGGCTTTGATTTGCATTTTCCTTATGAGTGATGTTGAGCCTCTTTTCATGTGTCTGTTGGTCATCTGTAGGTCTTTGGAAAAATGTCTATTCAGGTTCTCTGGCCATTTTGTTTTATTAATTTTTTTAAAGATTTTATTTGACACAGAGAGAGCACAAGCAGGGGGAGCAGCAGAGGGAGAGGGAGAAGCAGGCTTCCCGTGGAGCAGGGAGCCCGACGTGGGGCTCGATCCCAGGACCCTGGGATCATGAGTTGAAGGCAGACGCTTAACCGACTGAGCCACCCAGGCACCCCTCTCTGGCCATTTTAATCAGATTATTTGTATTATTGGTGTTGAGTTGTATAAATTCTTTACATATTTTAGATTTTAACCTCTTATGGGATATATCATTTACAAATATCTTCTCCCATTCAGTAGGTTGCCTTTTCATTTTGTGATGGTTTCTTTTTGCTGTGCAAAAGCTTTTTATTTTTATGTAGTCCCAATAGTTTAATTTTGTTTTGTTTCTCTTGCATCAGGAGACCTATCTAGGAAAATGTTGCCAAGGCTGATGTAAGAGAAATTACTGCCTGTGCTCTCTTCCAGGATTTCTGTGGATTCAGGTCTCACATTTAGGTCTTTAACCCTTTTGAGTTTATTCTTGTGTATGGTGTAAGGAAGTGGTCTAATTTCATTGTTTTGCATGTAGCTGTCCAGTTTTCCCAAGACCATTTATTGAAGAGACTGTCCTTTCCCCAGGGTATATTCTTGGCTCCTTTCTTGTAGATTAATTGACCATATCAGTGTGGGTTTATTTCTGGACTCTCAGTTCTGTTCCACTGATCTTTTTTTTTTTTTTTTTAAAGATTTTATTTATTTGACAGAGAGAGACAGCGAGAGCAGGAACACAAGCAGGGGGAGTGGGAGAGGGAGAAGCAGGCCTCCCGCCGAGCAGGGAGCCCGATGTGGGACTCGATCCCGGGACCCCAGGATCATGACCTGAGCCGAAGGCAGACGCTTAACGACTGAGCCACCCAGGCGCCCTGTTCCACTGATCTTTATGTCTGGTTTTGTGCCAGTACCATACCATTTTGATTTCTGGAATTGCAGTATATCTTGAAATCTGGAATTGTGCTACTTCAGCTTTGTTCTTCTTCCTCAAGATTGCTTTGGCTATTTGGGGGTCTTTTGTGGTTCCATACACATTTTAAGTATTACTTGTTCTAGTTCTGTGAAAAATGCTGTTGGTATTTTGATGGGGATTGCATTGAATCTGTCAATTGCTTTGGGTAGCAGGGACATATTAATAGTATTATTTCTTCCAATCCATGAGCATGGAATATCTTGCAATTTGTGTCATCTTCAGTTTTCTTTCATCAGCGTTCTCAGTACAGGTCTTGTAGCTCCTTAGTTAAACTTATTTCTAGGTATTATTTTTGGTGCAACTGTAAATGGAATTGTTTTCTTAATTTCTCTTTCTGCTACTTCATTATTAGTGTGTAGAAACACAACTGATTTCTGGGTATGAATTTTCTATCCTGCGACTTCCCTGAATCCATTTATTCTAATAGTTTTTTGGTGGCGTCTTTAGGATTTTTTATGTATAGGATCATGTCATCTGCAGATGGGGACAGTTTACTTCTTCTTTTCCAATATGGATGCCTTTTACTTCTTGTCTGATTGCTGTGGCTAGGACTTCCAGTACTATGTTGAATAAAAGTGGCAAGAGTGGACATCCTTGTCTTGTTCCCGATCTTATAAGGTTCCAATTTGTAGATCATTGAAATAAATTCTAAATTGGTAGTGGGTCCTGGGATATGATTGCTAAAGCAGGAGGGAGTGGATGTGTTTAGGAGCTCAGCAGTGGGTTGTCCAGTCTGGGATTTGAGTCACATGTGGAACCACTGTTTGTGCCTGGTCCCCATGGCTGGAGACTCTGACTCCTTAGTTCTGGGCTCCAGCCTGGGCTTCTGCATGTTGATTCCATTACGCTATACAGAGTTGAAAACTGCCACGTGTGCCTGTTACGATCCTAAAGACTAATGTTTTTTTTTATATCATTCTTTGTTGTAATAAAGCCAGGAAGAAAGATAAGACGCATGTGCTGAGTTAGGGCCCTTTGATGTACATGGGGCTTGTAGTATAACCTCTCCTGCTGACAGTGTGCTGAGGGGTGTGCAGAATTCGTTATCTTTTCTTTTTTTAAAGATTTTATTTATTTGACAGAGACACAGCGAGAGAGGGAACACAAGCAGGGGGAGCGGGAGAGGGAGAAGCAGGCTTCCCAGGGAGCAGGGAGCCCGATGCGGGGCTCGATCCCAGGACCCCGGGATCCTGCCCTGAGCCGAAGGCAGACGCTTAATGACTGAGCCACCCAGAATTCGGTTTTTTCAGAAATGTTTTCTGGTTCTTGAAAAAGTCAGCTCCTCCTAGGAACAATGTGGGAATGATGGCAGTACCTATCTCACGGCATGTGGAGGTATGAGGAGTCACCGAGCGAACAGCTTAGAGGGATGCCTGGTGCATGGAAGGTGCCCCCTGCAGTGTAGCTGCAGTGTAGCTCTTATTCTTCGTGAGCCCAAGAAAAACTGCTTTTCGAAAGCATTTTCTTGAGTCCCAAAAGGTTTTCATCGCCCTGTGCTCTTGGGTTTTACGTTCCTACAACTTGACATTCTTGAATTTTATTCTTCCAATCCAGTCTTTATCAAAGACAAATGGAACTTCAGGAAAAAAGTGAATTTTCAAATCCGGGCAAGCTACCTTTTAAGGACAATGAGGAATTTGAATCATCTTTTGAATGTAAGTTCAAATATGAATACTGGTTTTTATAAGCTCAAAATGTAGAAAGCTTAGTTTTGGTGAAACATATTCATTGTCATGAAAAGCAAAGAAGTTACAGATTAGGATATTTTTATTTTGTTTTTGTTGTTGTTTTAAAAGATTTTATTTATTTGACAGCCAGAGACACAGCGAGAGAGGGAACACAAGCAGGGGGAGTGGGAGAGGGAGAAGCAGGCTTCCCGCGGAGCAGGGAGCCCGATGCGGGGCTGGATCCCAGGACCCTGGGATCATGACCCAAGCCAAAGGCAGACGCTTAACAACTGAGCCACCCAGGCACCCCAGGACATTTTTATTTTGTGATAAAAGCACCCCAGGACATTTTTATTTTGTGATAAAAGCACAAATACAGATATATTGCCTCATTTTTATATCACGAAGATTTTCAGGGGTGCGTTCTGAGTTCCATTTATTAAGCATTTGAGGATAGCTCACAATTTCAAAGTTGGAGCTGAGCCTGTAAGTGAATCCTTAACTCAGTTTACAAAGTTTGGGATTGCCTCAGATTTAAAATAAGTGATTTTTAAAAATTCTTTTTTCCCTTTTACGGAACAGGAGTATGCTGTTATTTTTATTTAAAGTATACTGATTCCATTGACTGCCTAAGATTTAGAAAGCCCATTTTTTAAATTAAAAAATGGAGGTAAAATAATACAAGCTTGCGAGTCTAGAATTGGTGCCCGGCTGTGGCCCTGCCTAGAGCCCACTGCTTAAGTACAAAATAGAGCTGTAGCGCGGGTCATCCCCGCAGCTCTGTCCACCTTGGAGGTCTTCATATTTGTACATAACCTGCCATTTTGCTTCGTGAGCTTCATGGCGAGTGTGAAAGCATCATGTTTTGAACATTTCACTGATAAGGCTTAGTAAATCTTTCAAAATCCTTTTGACTAAGTTTGTTAAATCATTGATTTCAAATAGAATTCAAGTGATTATCAGCAAGCCAGGTGAATTCTTTCACTCAGTTGATATTTCCTTTTGGGTAACCAATGAGATTTTATAAAGGCATCTAATTCTTGAAAGCAGAAGAACACTGGGAGAAGTGAATACCATGGTCAGGCGGCTCCGATGTAGACTTCTAGAGTCCTCGAGACAAAGAGCTGGCCCAATTATTTTGGCCAAAACGCGCATGCTTCACCATGAGTTCTCCCGACACTGCGCTGCACCCCCTTCTCTTGCCCTCATTCCTGAGGCCGCACGGGATACTTGTTTGCACCTCGTGTAGTTGCAGGGAGCGCAGCGAGGCCGTTTGAAGCGGACGGCCTCCATTCTGCCGGCGACATGCCTCATGTGGATGCTGCTGCGGCTGCCAGACCTATGTCCTGTCACTACCCGAGTAAGTTTTCCTATGTTTTAGTAAACAAAATAGATTAACGATTTAGTAATATTGAATCTTATTTCGTTTCATTTTCTATTTGCTTCCTCCATGCCTTAAGAAATTAGGATAAGCAAAACCTTTATATATTTCAGTCTTCAGAAAAACTGGTGACGTTGCAGGAAACTGGTCATGAGACTTGTCTTGCGGGCTCACCTTGTCTTTCCTTTGCCTCCTCCAGATGACCCACTTCCCTCCCCTGGGTGGAAGAAAGGTGTAGCGGGGAGATTGGAGCTTTGCTCCAGGGCTCAGCCAACAGCCAGGTCCTTTTCTTCTTGGACCTAAGTGTTGAAGCCCCAAAGTTGAAAGGAAATGCTTCGAGTAAAACCACCTATTAGTCCTTTCCAAACATTGCGAGGACATCATCCCTAAAAGCTATGCAAAGCCTCTTAGAAACAGTTTCTTGGTTTAAGGCACAGTTGGGAATATGAGCAATCCCTGAAAGAAGCAGGAGACTTTGAGAGGGTTGATTTTTGCTGATTCCGGAGTAAATCATTCTGGAAAGCACTCCTTCATTGAGGCCTGATCAAGAGCCTTTTCTCTGCTGTGCACTTTCCTCGTGGCTGGGCATACAGCAGTGTACCAACCCAGGCCCCTGCTTCATGGAGCTTCTAGTAGGAGAATTGGACAGTCGGCAGGCCGTCATCGAGGACCTCCAGTGGGATAGATACCGACAGGGACCGTGGCACCGGAGAGCAGATCTGATGGGCAGCCGTTTGGCAGAGATCTGAGTGAGTAGGGAAGTAAAATAACATAATAGGATAAGGGAAAGCAACTGAGCAGACAGGTGTTCTGTTTCTGACACATAACATAGATTATGGTGAATGGCCTTTTAAATGACTATTAAATAGTGTGGTTACCTTTTGGTCATTGAGAAAGTCTCTGATATTTGTTGTTTCACCTCTTCATCTGGGTGCAAAGGGAAATGAAAAAGCCCCAGGCTTGATGCCTTTGTGTCAGTGGAAACACTTCTTTTCTTTGTTCTTAATGTCCGAGGCGGTTTCGGTACGCCACTCTGCTGAGTACACTGGACTCGGCTACAGAGTACACCTCCCAGGGAAGAAGCAGCCCTTTGCATGTGTTTAAATTCGCTCCCAAACTGCATTCTTACTGTGACGTTGCTACTCCATGGGGGAGCCTGATAGACCGAGGAGGAAGCCTCCTTGCCCCAGCAGGCAGGACGCTGCGTCGCTGCCTATGAAAATGGTCAGCGCCTCCTGTGGTATTAGAATTTCCTGACCAGGATTAAGAGAAGACTGTTGCTCCTGTCCCATCAGTAAAGCTGACTTTTTGCTAGTGACTTAGGACAGGGCATGGCAATGAGGTTTGAAGTCCCGTGGCGAACCTGTGAATTTGTTGTTTCTTAGCATTGCTGGGGAAAGTTGAGGTTATAGGCTAGAGCTGGAGGAGAAAAAGGTCAGCACAGTCATCTGTGGAATTGAGATTGAATTCAGCACGTGAGGCGTGCGGACCTGTGTTGCAAGCTTAGGGAACAAACGATTAAAACATGGTCCTTGGCCAGAAGGAGCAGAAGTAGGGAGACAGATGCCTATGGGTTGTGACAAGGCAGGTACAAAGCACTGTGTGAATAAGGTGCTGGAGTGGCCAGCTGTCACTTTAGGAATAAGGAGGACCTCCCAGAGGAGGTGGCTTTTAAGTGAGGGCTTGCATAGGAGGTAAGGTTGTGGGGGAAGAAGGGAGCACGTCAGGTTAAGGAGGCCGTGAAAGCAAGGGCATGGCGCAAGGCTGATGCAGCTGGGCTCAGCCACCAGTGAGCGAGCTGCTCTGTAGATGGAATGTTTCGGATGTGAAAGTTACGGTGATCGAGGAAGTCAGTCTGGAAAGAAAAAGGCAGATTGTCAGCCTAAACCACTATGGGTTAGGAGTCCCCCAGAGCAGACAGCGTGCAGAGCAGATCCAGGAAGTGACTGGTGCTCACAAAGGTGAAGGTGGGTTGCTTGAAGGCAGAGACGAGTGTCCTGGAGGGCATTGGCTAGGTGATTGCCGCCACCCAGGTAAATGGTGATAAGGACCCTCAGTGCAGCAGGAGGAAGAAAAACCTGTAAGCCCTGGTGGCTGAGTGGACATAGCATGGAAAGAGCATGATTAAAGGGACAGGAATGATGAGTTCAGGTATGAAGCCAGGGCTCTGGGGTCTCCATGTGCTGATGGCAGGAAGCCTGTTAGAAACCAGGGAGTGAGGAAACAGAGAGGTCGGGCCTGGAGAAGGAGGTATGGGAAGGGTCGGGGATCAGCCTGGAGGAGGTGGGCAGCAGCAGCGAGCTGGCTAGAATGGGGGGGGGGTGGAGGGCGTCTTGTCTGGGGCAGGAGAGACTGGGACGCCTGCACAGGAGCAAGGGGAAGAGCTGGGAAAGTGCTGTGTAAATGAAGAGGGACTGACGGTTAAGTCTGAGTCCTAAAGCTGGGGGCAGCCTCCTAACCAAATGCAGGGCTTGCCTTGGGAAGGGCGGAGGTGAGCAAAGAGCGTAAGAAGCTGCGATTGTGGGGGCGTGAGAGGCAGTTATAGTCATCGTATTAAGGGTGACTTGCCTTTATCTTAGCAAAGTAAAAGGCAGGGCAGGGTGCAGGGCTAGGAGTGGGTTTGGGGGCTTGAAGATGGAGCAGGTCAAGAGTCCTCTAAGAACCAAGCAGAGTCTTCCTGAGTCTTGGCAAGGGCCCCTGCAAAGCACTCATGCATATATTTGAAAAATCCGATGCTGGAAACTACGTGCCTTTTCTTTTCTGTCCCATTAGGCATAGATCAGAAACAAATGGGAGAACAGAAGGAAGAAGAAAAAATATGGGAAGAGCACATGAAAGACCGCAGGCAGAGAGAAGAAAGAAGGCAGAATGAGCGGCAAGAGGCTTTAGAAAGGGAACGAAGAGAACTAGAAAAATTGGATCAAGAGCGGGTAATGCTAAGTACACGCAAATTCCCTATGCTGCTTTTCCCTTGGTACACCTCCTGTAAGTACCTTGTTCTCAGGGACATGAGTCCTTCGTGTGTCCTGAAGTCATAGGAGTGGCAGATAACTTTGGTTTTGTTTTTGTTTTTGTTTTTTTACCATACAACATTATTATAGTATTATTGACTGTATTCCCTATGCAGTACTTCAAATTGCTGTAACTTACATATTTTGTGACTGGAAGTTTGTACCTCTTAATCCCCTTTATCTATTTCCCCTATCCCCCTACCCACCTCCTCCCTGGCAACCACCAGTTTGTTCTCCATATTTGAGTCTGGGTGTTTTGGGTTTGTTGTTTCTTTGTTCATTTGTTTTGTTCTCTAGATTCCACATGTAAGTGAAATCATATGGTATTTGTCTTTCTCTGACTTATTTCACTTAGCATAATATCCTCTAGGTCCATTGTGTTGTCACAGATGGCAAGATCTCATCCTTTTTATGGCTGAGTAATAGTCCATTGTGTATATATACCACCTCTTCTTTATCCATTCATCTGTGGATGGACACTTGGGCTTCTTCCTTATCTTGGATATTGTAAATAATGCAGTAAACATAGGGGGGCGTGTATCTTTTCAAATTAGTGTTTTTGTTTTCTTTGGGTAAATACCCAGTAGTGGAATTACTGGATCATATGGTAATTCTACTTTTAATTTTTTGAGGAACCTCCATACTGTCCTCCACAGTGGCTGCCCCAGTTTGCATTTCTTTTTCTCCACATCCTCGCCAACACTTGTTGTCTTTTTGATTTTAGCCATTCTGACAGGTGTGATAGCTCATTGTAGTTTTGATTTGTATTTCCCTGATGATGAGTGATGATGAGCATCTTTTCATGTGTCAGTTGGCCATCTGAATGTCTTTGGAGAAATGTCTATTCAGGTCCTCTGCCCATTTTTAATTGGATTGTTTGGGTTTTTTGGTGTTGTGTAAGTTCTTTATATATTTGAATATTAACCCCTCATTGCATATATCATTTGCAAATATCTCCCATTCAACATGTTTTTTTGTTTTGTTGATGGTTTCCTTCACTGTGCTGAAGCTTTTTATCTTGATGTAGTCCCACTAGGTTTTTGGGGTTTTTTGTTTGTTTTTTGTTGTTATTGTTTGCTTTTGTTGCCGTTGTCTCAGAAGACATATCTAGAAAAATGTTGCTAAGGCAGATGTCAGAGAAGTTACTGCTTGTGTTCTCTTCTAGGATTCCTGTGGTTTCAGGTTGCACATTTAGGTCTTTAATCCATTTTGAGCGTATTTTTGTTTAAGAAAGTGGCCCAGTTTTCCCAGCACCACTTTTTGAAGAGATTGTCTTTTCCCTGTTGTGTATTCTTGCCTCTTTTGTCGTAGATCAATTGACCATATAAGCATGGGTTTATTTCTGGGCTCTCCATTCTGTTCCACTGATCTATGTGTCTGTTTTTGTGCCAGTACCAGACTGTTTGGATTATTATAGCTTTGTAGTATATCTTGAAATCTGGCATTGTGATACCTTCAGCTTTGTTCTTCTTTTTCAAGATTGTTTTGGCTATTTGGGTCTTTTGAGGTTCCATACAAATTTTAGTATTATTAAATTTAGTATTAAAAGCCTGCTGTAGGCATCCCAGTCTTCTTTGCTTAAGAGCACTGAGAAAGGCTATGTATAACATAGACCTTAGGAGTTTAGCAACAAAGGGGAGCTTTTGCAAGCTCATTTGCGTTCTCATCTGGTCCTGGAAACAAGCTGTAAAGGAGGTGGGCTTGGCTTTGCTTTGCTATAGGTCTTCCCTTTTTAAATGGGGTTCTTTTTTTTTTTTTTTTTTTTTTAAGATTTATTTTTTGACAGAGACACAGCCAGAGAGGGAACACAAGCAGGGGGAGTGGGAGAGGGAGAAGCGGGCTTCCCGCGGAGCAGGGTGCCCGACGCGGGGCTTGATCCCAGGACCCTGGGATCATGACCTGAGCCGAACGCAGACGCTTAACGACTGAGCCACCCAGGCACCCCTTTAAATGGGGTTTAAAGAAGACTTCCAAGGTCAGCTAGCTGGGATTAGAGTAACACCAGGGAAGTGACTGCTGGTCAGCAGTGGCTTCCAGGGCCTCCCCTGCCCTCCTCCTTCCTCTGATTCTCTTTTGGCCTTCTAGGTCCTGATTCTGGTCCTAGGTGCATGGGTTACTCTGGCCACTTCACAGACCTGCTGAGTCTTACCGAAATTCATCTTCCATATGGATGTTCCTTGGACTCCTGGTTAATTTGGTTTAAAGCACAGGCCACTTGAGGCAAATTAATTCCTTCCTTCATTGAGATACCTGTTTGTCTCCCTTTGGTAGCAATGACTTCAGTTAAAGAAACAGTTGTTTGGCATGCAGGTTGTACTTAAAGGACCAGGATTATGTTTCTATGCCTTTTTAAACACTTACAAGTTGTTTTAATGTACTTGTGTATTTCCTATGTTGGCACCTGTCTATTCCATAGAGGATGATTGAAGAATCATTGAAGATTGAAATGGAAAAAGAATTAGAAATGAGTGTTGAAGAAACGAAAGGCAAATCTGTTTGTGGTGAAAATCCTTTAGAGAAATACATGAAAATTATTCAGCGGGATCAAGACCAGGAGACAGCAGATAAGGTGCTGATGCTGTGGCCCGGCCTTCTGTGGAGGGTGTTGCCGAGGGATGCTTTGGTTTGTTAGAAAGCTGTAGGACCCAAATCTGCCTTCTCCATTGGAGACAAAAAGGTAGAAGCATAGAAAATCCACAATTCAGATAGAGCCGTGAGTCTTTTTGATACATGACACTCTTGACAAAATTTCATCGCTTTGCTTGGGGAAAGATTGACGAGGTTTTGATTTGTCAACTTTTATAAAAATTAGGATGTCTCTCATTTTAAGAACAAGAAAGAAATGTAATGAAAGGTCTGTTCATGAATAATGAATGCATTAGTACCATCTGAAACATCGATGTTTTATTTCAGTCTCACACAGTGTGTGTGTTGAGAATGGGTACCAGATAGTTTATTTTGATGGGCTTGCTGAATTTCATGTTGAAAAGTCACCTCTTTTTTAGACTCTTTTAAGTTGCATATATATCTCAAATTAGTCCTTAGAGAAATCAAAATGTTGAATAAAACTGATATATAATGTAATTTCAAGATTCTTTTTCCCTCTTTGTATCAGAGTTCAAAGGTTGGCAGAGAAGCCTCAGAAGTGGACACAGTGCCATCGAGTGACAAAGACGAAAGGTATGGTTTCCTCAATATGGTGTTCCTGCACAGACCATTAAGTTGCTGGTGTGTCAGCCAAGGGAAACGTTCAGATATTTGAGTCTCCCTGTAAGAAATTAGTGAAACAATCAAAATTAGGGACTGCAAAAAAAATCTGTTGCATTTTTTAATTTGTAAAATTGCTTAAGCAAGGGCAGAAACCCCACAGAGAAAGAATGCGAACATCATAAAGATCCCTGAATGAACTTGTCAAGAATTTAATAAATTAAAATTGTTTTTATCTTTCCCTAATTTAGTTTCACGGGCTTTTCTCATGAAGAAACAGATGACTTTTGGTAACCATGTTTGCTGTCCAGCATCTTACCCATATAATGTAACTAAAGGCCTATGAATTCTCTGTGACAAGACAAAATTCTCAATAAAAATTCTATGTGTAATCCCATGCAATTTTGTTTTTCAAATTTTATTTGGTATCATAGTATATAAACCAAAAATCATCTAGTCAAGTAACACCTCTTTAGAATTTCTCCTTTTTAGGCTTTGCATGACACTAGAATGAGTTTTGTTCCTCCCCATTTTTGTCAGAGGTTATATTTATTCGAAAACTTCTTGGTCAAGTTCCAGGCCTACATATTGGAAGTTTCAGCTATGTTCCTTTCCTCTCCAGAGCTGGGCTACCCCCTGTCAAATAGGAGGCCATCTTCCCCAACACTCGCCGTCTGATCTGTCCCTGAAAATAAGGACACAGGCCTTTCCGTCCCAGGTGTTAGAAATAATACAGTATCACCTCTGGTCTTTACTTTTCACATCTTTTTCTTGAGAATGAACACAACCCATTCTTAGATGGTGATAAAAAGAGAAAGTAACATTTACTGAGCACTTTCTGTGTACCAGGTACAATTTTAAACCTTTATATGTATGAACTCACTTAATTCTTACATCATCCATATGAAGCATGTGTACTATGACTATCCACATTTTATGGATGAGGAAATGCGAGGCACAGAGAGGTTGGTGACTTGATCAGGGTCTCATAGTCATCAAGTTGCAGAGCCAGGATGTACATACCCTGGCGGGAGACCAGTGCTGCCTCCAAGCTGGGCTGTTCTGGAGCTGCCCCTGTGGAAGACATCCCACAACTTGCAGTGGGTCGCCCATTGCATATCCCTTTCCAGAGTGACCTTTAGAAACCACACAGCGAACAAATAGGATAATTGCACTCCAGTGCAGCACCCGCAGAACTTCCAGAAAGGGAGGAAGAAACCCATTTGCTGTTGTTCCCCTTTCTTCATCTTTGCACACCTGTACCTCACAGTCCAGCGTCTTGTGTGTGGGAGCATCTTGGAAAAGTTCTTTAATGACGTTGCCACTATGGTCACCAGAAAGTGCACACAGAACGGCCCTGAGGGTGACCACCCACCCAGTTTGCCTGGACAGTGCTAACCCATGGTCCCCCAGCTCCTAACATGGGATGGCTTTGTCTGGTCTGTCTTTTCAGTGAGGTCCCAGAGATCATTTCCCTGTACAAATACAGACTGGGTTGAATTGGAATTGCCAGTGATACTTACTAGGTCCCTGAATTCTAACAAAGTGGGAAGGCGATTTTTTTGTATTTGTTACTGCTTAGGCTTCTAAGGAGTTTCTCATTGAAGTATACCTTTGAAAGTCATTGAAGAAATAAGTTGTCTAGGCATCATCATTATCACACTTAGCACATCAAACATCAAGTCCTGTTGCCACCAAGAACTTGGCATCTTCTCTTTCAACACCACCTCATAACGTCTTTTTTTCTTCCAGCTTTCAGATAAAATTGACATATAACATTGTGTGCATTTAAGGTATAGAACGTGTTGATGTGGTGCACTTACATGTTGCAAAATGATGACCACCACAGCATTAGCAAACACCTGCATCATGTCACATAATCACCACTTACGGGTAAGAACGTAGCAACTTTCAAGTATGATACAATATTATTCACTGTAATCACTATGCTGTACATGAGATTTTCTGAATTTACTCCGCTTGTAACTGGAAGTGTGTGCTCTTTGACCAACACCTCTTCCCCACTCCCCAGCTCCTGGTAACCACCAGTTTAGTCTGTTTCTAGTTCACCTTTTTAAGATTCCCTATGTAAGTGAGAACATACAGCATTTGTATTTCTCTGCCTTATTTCACTTAGCATTATGCCCTCCAAGTATTGTTGCAAAGAGCAGGATGCCTTCTTTCTCATGGCTCAATAATATTCCATTGTGTAGATGGTGTGTATGTATATACGTGTATATATACTTTATATACCACATCATCTTTACTAATCCATCCCTCCTTGATGGTCACTTAAGTTTCCAGAGCTTGACTATTGTGAATAATACTGCAGTGAACATGGCAGTCCAGATAGTTCTTCAAGAACCTGTTCTCATTTCCTTTGGTTAAGTACCCAGAAGTGGGATTGCTGGATCATAGGGTACTTCTATTTTTTAATTTTTTGAGGAACCTCCATACTCTTAACCACAGTGGCTGCACCAATTTATATTCCCACCAACAGTGCACAACCTCACCAACACTTGTTATCTCTTTTCTTTTTGATGGTTACCATCCTAACTGGTGTGACATGATGTCTCATTGTGGTTTTGATTTGCATTTCACTGACAATTAGTGATGTTGAGCACCTTTTCACGTCCCTGTATGTTGTCTTTGGAAAAATGTCTGTTCAGGGGTGCCTGGCAAGCTCAGTCAGTGGAGCATGTGACTCTTGATCTCAGGGTTGTAAGTTCAAGCCCCAGATTGGGTGTTAGAGATTACTTAAATAAGTAAAATCTTAAAAAAAAAAAAAAAGTTCCTCTGCCAATTTTTCAAATTGGATTATTTTTTGCTCTTCAGTCATATGAGTTCTTTATATATTTTGGATATTAACCCTTTATCAGATACATGGTTTGCAAATACTTTCTTCCACTTGGACAGGTTGCCTTTTCACTTTGTTGATGGTGCCCTTTGCTGTGCAGAAGATTTTTAATTTGATGTAATCTCACTTGTTTATCTTTGCTTTTGTTGCCTTTCATTCTTGTGTCAGATCCAAAAAATCATTGCCAAGACTGATGCCAAAGAGCTTACCCGCTATGTTATCGCCCAGGAATTTTACAGTTCAGGTCTTATGTTCAAGTCTTTAATCCATTTGGAATTGCTTTTTATGTGTGGTGTAAGGTAGGGATCCAGTTTCATTCTTTTGTATGTGCCTATTCAGTTTTCCTAATACCATTTATTGTAGTCTCTTCCCCTTTCCTCTATATATCCTTGTATATTCTTGGCCCATCTGTTGTAAATTAACTGATCATATATGAATGCATTTATTTCTGGGCTCTCTTATAGTGTTTCATAACACTCATGATCTAGGTGTCTGTTTTTATACCAGTACCACACTATTTTCATTATTATAGCTTTGTACTATAGTTTGAAATCTGGAAGTGTGATGCTTCCAGCTGAGTTCATTCTTAAGATTGCTTTAGCTATTTGGAGTTTTATTTATTTTATTTTGTGGTTTTATACAAATTTTATGATCTTTATATTTCTGTGAAAGAATGCTTTGGGAATTTTGACAGGGATTGCATTAAATATGTCAATCACTTTGGGGAGTATGAACATTTTAACAATATTCTTCCAGTCCACGAACGTGGAATATCTTTCCATTTATTTGTATCTTCAGTTTCTTCAACGTCTTATGGTTTTCAGATCTTTCATTGCTTTGGTTAAATTTTTTCCTAAGTATTCTTTTTGATGCTATTGTAAATGGTCCTGTTTTCTTAACTTCTCTTCTGATGCTTCATTATGAGTGTATAGAAACACAACTGATTTCTGTATATTGATTTTCCATCCTGCAGCTTTACTGAATTCATTTCTTGGTTTTAATGGCGTTTTAGTAAATCTTTAGGGTTTTCTATATATAATATGTCATCTGCAGATAGATACCATTTTACTACTACTTTTTGATTTGGACAGCTTTTCTCTTCCTTGTCTAATTGCTCTGGCTTGGTCTTCAAGTACTGTGTTGAATAAAAGTGTCAAGAGTAAGCATTCTTGGGGCGCCTGGGTGGCTCAGTCATTAAGCGTCTGCCTTCGGCTCAGGTCATGATCCCAGGGTCCTGGGATCGAGCCCCACATCAGGCTCCCTGCTCAGCAGGAAGCCTGCTTCTCCCTCT